ATATATATATATATTTACCTTAAAAAAAAGTGGTCGGCCAATGATCTTTTGAGGACGGATTAAGCCGACCGGGCTGGATAAAAAACTTAGCATGCTTTTCTTTCCGTATTGGGTCGGTCTGTTTTCATCTTTTAGGTCGCTAGGCCCTAAGACTAGCAACCCAAACTTACACATCTAGACACGACTATTAAAAAAGAATGTGTTGTCTTTCTGTTGATATTTTAATAGTCAGATTGATAAAAACAAGACCCATAACCTGCCATCAGGGTGAGAATCCAGTCCCACCCTAGCCGCCTCGAAATTTACTACCCGCCCCAATAGTTTTAAAACCTTGGCCCGTTAAGACCGAAGCCTAAACGTGCCAATTCAATCATGGGTTGAGCGCTTCCCAACCCACATAGATAAAAAAACTCAATAGATTGGGGACTCATTTTAATACGTTTAAAAATCAAATACTAAATAAGATTCGACCTAGTTCAGCGTCTAATGATCTTTAACCCTAGGCTCCAACACTCAGGGTGGAATCAATGTGTAAGTTGTTTGTTTGCTCAAAAAATACTAACATTACTTTTGTTGTCACTCTTTTTATTATTCTATGCATTCCCAGATTGATATATTATTATTTAAATAGAGATGTTGACTCTATTATTATATTTTATGTTTAAATAATAATACATCAATAAGTGATAAAAAAAAATAATAAAAAAAGTGATCCATGTGTACCCACCAACATCTCATTGGTCGAGGAACAACAATCATTAACCGAACTCCGGCAAATAAGCCACTAGGTCCAATCCAACAATTCGAACAAAGACGCGGCGTCTAGTACCCCAAAATTCTTATTTTTATTGCGCACGTGGTGCAATCTAATTGGTCCTTATCCTTTTTTTATATTTTTATTTTCCATTTTTTCGTCCGGAAATGAAAAGGGGATATTGATTATTGAATTGCTTCAGATCCCCAATATTTCTTTCTTACCTGCTCCATTGTTTTTCTGCCCTCCATTGTTGCACCTTCCAAGCTTTTTCTTACCTCATATGCGCTTGATTTGCTGGAGACGCTGATGGAGTCCTTGGCCTCCAGCGGTTTCTGGGATTTTCTCGACTATTCCTTCATCGCCGATGATCAACCCGCCGATTTTCTCTGGTCCAACAACAGGTCTCTTATTGAACCCTAATGCCCGATTAAGATAGAAAAACAGGAAATGAATTCGAACGATTTCTTATTGCTTGGGTGTGCAGTGTTATGGATGTTGATTTCTCAGGTGGCGGCGCCGTCGGAGGGAATGATGAGCACGCCAATGGCGATGGCGATGGCGATGGCGCTTCCGAAGTGAAGGAAGAAAAGGAGTGTCCGCGTAAGAGGTAAACGAAATTCGACTCCATTGATTATTTGGATAATAGGGTTTAGATTGTGTGTGTTTGTGTATACATATATACATATACATATATATATATATATATACATATACACACACACACACACACACACACATATATATATATGTAATATTCTTTCTTGTTCGAAATTCGTCAAATTTGTTGTTTCTGGAAGGTATCATGATTCACAAAAAAGAATGGTGGCAAAAACTTGATGCTTTTTCATTTGTATAGTTTAGCTTCTTATAATTGAGGTCTTTTCTTTTTTGTTTCATTTTTTTCCTACTGGGTGTTAGTTAATGGCTGGAGACATTGTTTTGATATATATATATATATATATTTATATATTTCATTTCTTTAAGCTAAAGAAAGTTTAGAGTTATCACGAGTGATCTAGTTATACGTTTTTCCCTTTTGATTTTAGTTTTTTATTGTTTTCAGGGAACGCACGGAGTCTTGCAGCAAGCAAGGGTCGAAGGCATACCGTGGGAAATTGCGGCGAGAGAGATTGAATGACAGGCATGCAACTCACCTGTTCAGATTAATTGGTCGAGTCTTTGTTCTGTCAGCTTTTTCACTAGCTCAGATTGAAACTGCATATCTTTGAATTGGGGTTGGATAGTTCGTCGCAAAATGAATAAAGCATATGTTTTTAGGAAGTTTAGAAGTTTTGTAATTCATACTTCTCAGATGCTTGAAATAGAGGTCTGATGAGACCTGAGACTGGTAAAAGGAAAAAGAATTTGACTTGTGTAGTTATCTTTTGAAGCTGCCTTTGTAACATCGTTAGAGGCTTTTTGCCTCTTGTTACAAGAATAATGATGCATGGTAGTATGTTTCACTCTTTTTGTGTGTATGTGTGTGCGTGTGCGTATGCGTGAATTCAGTAATCCGAAAGGAGTGATTTTGTGTATGACTTTTTCAGGTTTATGGATTTGTGTTCTGTTTTAGAACCTTGGAGACCTACAAGAACGGACAAACCAGCTATTCTGGATGACGCCATAAGAGTTTTGAACCAACTGAAAGACGAAGCTCAGGAGCTAAAAGAAACAAATGAAAAGCTACTGGAAGAAATAAAGAGTTTAAAGGTTGATTTCATTTCAGTTTTGCGCATTGAATACATTATTATGCTTATCCCTGCACTACTACCTTTCTGCTTTCTATTTGCTTATATTTTTTCTTACTTTTCAGCTTTTACTCCTCCATTTTATTCTTTCTTCTTTATTTCCTTTCGTAATAGGCACCTTGCTTTAACTTGTTTCTTTGATATGATGTTATATTTGTCCTCATACACGCATGAATTAAGGATATAACCACAGGGTTACTTATACAGTTTTGAGGATTATTTCGTATGGTTAGTTGTTGATTTTAGCTGCCTTTTGATGTTAAAATTTCTCTTACTAGATTTTGGGTGCCTTGTAGTGAGGATCAATTCCCGGTTTAGTTGGAAAGACATTAACAAACAATCTTGTTTTATATTTGAGACGAGTATGGTTGGATTAGCTGAAATGAAAAAAATTTGATATTTCGATCATGTTCATATCCTGACTTGACAGCAAATAAACATCACTTGTTGCATCCCATATTGAGACAAATAACTTTGAAGTTTATGAACGTTTAGTTTAAGGCCTTCTTTGGTAGGAGGGTGAAGTGGAAGGATTAGTGGATGGATTTTTAAGACTTATGGTTGTTTGGTAGGAGGGATTAGAAGAGGGAACGGATTGAGTGAGTGATTCAAAATCCTCCATGAAACTCTAATTTTGATCCTTCCTAGTTGGAAGGATTGAAGGAGTCAATCCATACCAAACACAATTAGAAAGAGGCTCTCCCATGCTTCTCTATTTGCCTTGGCTTATTAAAAACTTAAGGTTTTCGGTTCTTTTACATCAAGGTTATCCTGATTCTGTAGCTAAGACTGCTATTACTTGACGACGTGCTTTCTAAATTAAAGCCAGATTAGTTGTTATTTGTTCAACAATCAGTGAAGATATCTAAGCATACTCTCAAATCTTTTACGGTTACAAAATTCATAGGCTTTTGAAATATTAGTTTGCAGTATTCCCATAGATATTGTTTGAAATCTTGATAACAGGCAGAGAAGAACGATATCCGAGAGGAGAAACTAGTACTTAAATCAGATAAAGAAAGGATGGAGCAGCAGTTGAAAACCATGGCAATGCAGCCTTCTGGATTTATGCCGGCCCACCCAGCGGCATATCAAAACAAGATGGCAGTTTATCCCAGCTATAGTCTGGTCCCAATGTGGCACTACTTGCCTCCATCAACTCGTGATACATCTCATGATCACGAGCTTAGGCCACCTGCTGCTTAGTTTCTCTTCCCTTCCATGGCTGGAAGTTTTTTAGTTGCTTTATCTCTGTGTCATCCGCAGTTTATTGCTCAAAGACGTGTAAATATCAATGCTATCTCAGTTTGCCTGTTGTTTTATTCAGTTTGGTGGTAAATGTATGGCAGAATTGATCAGGAATGTAGTGATGACATCAAATTTTCGAATAAATTATTCCAATCCAGTCTCCAAACATGTTTCATGCCCATTGTTTAATTTTGGCTTTCAACTTATATATCTAAATAGCCTGGTGACAAGATGCTGAATCATACTTAATTACTTATCAAAAAGTCAATTGTTATATGATGCTACTTAGCTTTCTTTTCTTTTGTTATCTCTTTGGAGAAGCAACAATTAAAAGACCAATATGATTGAATTTAATTTGTTTCTGTTGGTTATGAAGAAATTCAAGAAAATAAGACAATAAGGTAATAGATTGAGAGATTTCTGGGTGATGAAGATTTTTTTGTTACATTATTTTCTCATTCTCAATTAGAAATTGGGTATCAAAATAGTCGGCACTAAAAAAACCAAAAATATGCTTCCCCAATTTGTTCTTTAGTCTTGCATTGATAGCCATTTATCTACTTCATTTTCTTCACTTCCTCACGGTTCAGC